TACAAACTGTATATTCAAACTTCTTAGTTACTGACATCGTAGATTGATTAAGCCAGTGAGGGTCTACTGACAGCTTGAATGTTGCAGATATTTCTGATTTGCTTAACCACAATGTAAAATCCCAGCAATCATTCACCCAAACAATGCAAGAACAAAGAGAAGTTTCATTTGCAATGGAAGGCCCATGTTTGTTCAATGCTTTGCCCATGGAGTAAAGAAACAAAACTCTCTGTACTGTAGGTCAGTTTTAGAAAAAACTACATAACTTCCTCACTGGTATATCAGATGAACCATTAATACTAGGATACAAATACAGGCGTTGAGACAGCACGAGTCCAGCAGACTGGTTGCCATTGCCACCACATAGACTTGGGGACCATGCTCAGACCCTATCGTACTAACTATGGATCGATCTATCTCCAAGGGGATTCTTGCTAAATTGCATTCAACTTAAGCAGCTTAGATGTCTGTCACACCTACTGAAGCTGCTAGTGGGTAATTAATTATTGTTTAGCAGCTTCAGGAGGCCTGTCAGACATCTAAGCTGCTTTAGCTGAAAGCAATTTAGCGAGAAACTCCTTGGAGATTGATTCATCCTGTTAGATCGAACTAGGTATAGGAACCTAGTCTTACTATATCCTCTCAGCGCTGGTGGCCACCATTAGGTGTAATATGCTAACAAGTAACCCATAAGAAAAATGTCAGTTGATGTGAACATTTTAATAGCATGATCTAAGTTACAGATGCACATAGTTTGCAGTTCAGTTTGTCCAAGAATCAAATATTTCACCCTCTATTGATTGTAAATTGCTATTACACTTAGTTGTCATACATCCTTCTTCAGTGGAAACTGTACAATCAGGGCTATTTGGTCCAAGCAATTTTATTACCACCATGCTCTTATTCTTTTACAAAGCTTTATAGATCTTTCTGGGATTTATGACACATTCATATATTCTAATGACCTATGACACTAGCTAGGGGACATTTCAACCTCTGTTTGGCATTTGCAATAGGATCTCCTAAGGCTGATATGTCTCCTATATATTCACATTGATTTCATAGGTCTGCTGTCATATTTTGGAAGGTAAAGAAAGTGATGCTGTTATAATTATGTGGATACCCTTCAGTGTTGATTACAAACACACAAAAAAAACAATTTGAAGGGAGAATTTTACCATGCAAAATGATGTTTTATGGTTTCTACAGAGAGACTAAGTAATTTTTCCATTTAATGTAGGCTTTGGATAATAATAACATTTTGCCTAATTTCAGTGATCCCTTGCACACAGAAGCATGGATTCTCAATTCAATAAAACAAAAAGTTATCTCAAGCCAGTAGGGTAATTACATGCAGAGTTTTTTTTTTTTTTTTTTTTACTACAAAAAGACTGTTTAGGAGGATTACTAAAATGAATGAAAAAAAGTTAAGGCAACATATAAAAAAATTAATTTTTTATCAATCTCAAATAGTTTTTATTTATTTATTTATTTATTTATTTATTTATTTATTTTTATTATTATTATTTTTTTTTTTTGTAAGGTAAGAAATAACTCATTCTTTTCCAGACCAGATGCATCATTTCATTTCCATTTTAATCAGTTGCATCAAGACAATTGAACAAAAAAATACTTTAAGTGTGTTTCAGGATATACTGGTAGAATTTCCTCCTTTCCCAACATAACAGAAACAGGTTAACACATGCACTTGTGCAAATACAACAAAAAGCATGACTAACCTGATTCTCCTAAAGAGTGGCACAAGTTCATAAAAAGCACATCATTCTTTGACATGGCCCCTGCAATAACTGACATTTTGATTCTTGAAGTTTGAGCTGGAGGAAGTCCAATGTTGACACTAGGTGATTATCTTGTCATCTCCCAAAGAGGCACACAAAGGGACAAGTCACATTTTTTCTGATGTTTATCTCCTTTCGCGAAGCATGGCACACCTAAGTGGTATATATTATTTTCATATTGAGGATCATGTTACAAAAGAATTTTGTAGAACATGTGTAGATGACAAAAGATTGTTACCATGATGCACCCTTATTTGTTTTTGTGTCATTCCAGTAGCTGTTGCCTCTGATGGGAAACATGCTGCAGATACCGAGAAGATGTCTATAAAGCCTGAAGGAAAAGCCGAGGAAGATAAATGGCAGGGCAGTGCAGGCAAGTGCATATGATATTGTCACTGTATCTGTTATTTGTCTGGTTCCTCACAATAGAGAAATGCCCCAAAGTGATTTGACAAAACTACTTATACCATATATGCCCTATCTTGTTGTTCAGTTTGTCAGTATGAAAGGAAACCAATCTCTTTTTGCCCAAATTTTTCCTAATATATTTTTGGAAGGTTGCATTTTTCCCAACAGAATTATTTTGGTTAGTACATTCCATTAAATATAGGAAGCCACTGGTGCTTTTCCTTGAACACATATATGGCATTTTTATATACAAAATTGATGATATCAGTCCACATTCATTTGAGAAAAATACTCTGAATGGAAGCAAAAACCAAAACCTTGATTACATGAAGCAAATTACATTGCAAAATTTTTATGAGGTATACATCAGTTAGCTATATTTTTTGGTTTGTGAATGTTATATGGAATGTACTGTGTTTTGTTAATATGGTTTGTAAATATGTACAGATTTTGAGTACAAAAGAAAGATTAGACTGTAGACTCAGATGAAATCAACAAAATAAGGTGTACGTGCAACTTTGAATGCACAGGCATTAATGAAAAATTATAATTATTAAAAATATCAATAAAAATTATAAATATTTATCAGTTGAATTAATTAAGACCCTTAACAAAAGAATTTGTTTGCATATTATCAGTTATTAATTTTAGTAGGTGAATTCAAAATTATTTTTTAAAAAATTAATCTTTGAGTGCAGGCACCATCATAATTTGCTGCTTTGTGTTATTTCTTCTCTCTAACAAGAGGGGAGAAAATTTATTTCAGTTAAGAACTGATAAATTATCATTTTGTTTTTAGGTCTTGTGGCAAAGAAGGTGAAGCCTAGTGCTCCTGTACAGAAAGTCTATCCTCAAGTGCAGAGTACTGAAGCATCAAACACTCAAGCAATAGAAGCAGTTGCCACTAATATTGGTGCATCCACACTGCATAATCCTTATAGCAGTCAAAATCAGCAAAGCATAGAATCTGTATCAGAGGAGAAAGATGTTTCAGAAAAAGGGGCTATTACTGTCAACTCTTGTGCTGAAAAAGTAGAAAGTGGCACTCAGTGTACAGGTGCTTCTATTAATGAGATGAACTGCCTACAGCCCACAGATGCTGGAAAACAAATCAATACGAAGGAAAAACACAGACGACGGAAAATCCACAGCATTCCACCTGTTCCACAGCTTATCTCATTCTCACACCCAAACATGCAACCACCAGTCCCAGTCGAAACTTTTGTTTTAGGCAATCCTTTCGAGACTGGGTCCCCAGAACAATATAGAACACCATCTTGGCGTGAGCAATACATGGGATGGCAGGACAACTTCATGCCACAGAGTAGTAGACCATCAAGCATGCTAAGCCATGTCTCACCATCAACCTCTAACTATCCTGCTCTGAAGCAACTTCAAAGGCCTCACTCAGATCCAGGCAGTGATAAGAGTATGTTCAGTACTTCACAAGATTTGCCTTACATGCATCCAGAGTCTGGCCCATGTAGTGCTCCACCCTCATACTCACAAGCTGTAACATTTCCCGCAGGTGTTAGTCAGGTATCCAAGAATGCCAAAGAAGTTTCATCAAGGATGCTGACCATGCCGCAAGGTTTTTACCATGCAGCACCCAGAGAGGAGTTACTTGGAGGAAAAACGTCCCAATACCAGTTGAATAGTGCTGGGTCAGTTGCTTCAGCAGCAAGGAATGGTTTTGCTGGTACGAATTCAACTCTGCTGTCATTTAATGGGGACATGACAGGGACAGGGAACACATTGGCTTCAGTGGAATCAGACATTGAAAAGTGTCAACTACAGTTTAAAAAGTTAGAGGAAATAGCACAAACCAAAGAAAAGGAACAGAAGAAGTTACTGGAGCTCAAACTAAAATTTGCCCAGCACATGAAGAAGAAATATGAAGAACGTCAGAAACTGCTTCTGGGTAAAGGTAGCATCCAAGCTGCAAGGCCAAATTATCAATGCTTTAATATTTCACCAACTTCTGAAAGGATGAACAAGAATACAATGCGTTGTGAATCAGGGCAATCAGTTAAAAAGAGATACAGCCAAGAAAGTGTGCCCCATACTGTCTCACCACAAAAGAGTGCAAAGGATGCTCATCCTAGATCTGCAAATCTACCCTGCCCACCTCCTGCACACAGTAACACTGAAGAAGGTAAACATTTGAAAGGGCCAGCATCAGAAAAATGGCAAAACCCTCCACCAGCTCATTGCCAACCACCAGTACCTTTGAGAGCACTGCCGCAGCCAGAACATGCACCTACAAATAGCCTTGCAGGTAAAACTGTGAAAGTTCAAGGAAAAGCTTTGATATCATCTAGATACAGCCATACGACAGGCCACAGCACAATGGACTCTTCATTTTACAAAATGGGTTTTGCTGCTAAAAGTAAAATGGAGGCAAAAATCGAGCAAGGGACCCCAGTTAAGGTTCAAAGGACCGAGGCCCACTCCAGCACATCAGATGCCAAAGGAGGAGTATCTGTGACATCAGCTAGAGCTAACTACTGGTACAACAGTGGAAAGCAGATGTCAGCCAACCACGCAGATCAAAGCAGGCAGAAAGATTACTTGTCACAGAACAAGATTGTTGACCTGACAGAAGATTATGAAGATGGTCATTGGAAATCGCTGCAGCAAGAACGGAATAAAATAGCCGTGAATGAAAGGTACTCAAAAAGATACAATGAGTTTGATAAGGCAGAAATTCAAGTGCAAGAGGCGATGCAAGTTGCTCGCACCAACAGAGCAAAGCAAGAGGCACAGTATTTTGGAGATAGGTACCAGCATTTTTTCAGTGGCCAAATGGCTTTAAACCATGCACAGATGCCCAGACATACACAGACTCTGCTCAGTTCATCTTCTGCATATGGCCCACAGCAACAACAACAACAACACCTTTTGGCAAATGCCCCCCAGACAGGATTGGCTGCACCAGGAGCTGTTCCAAGAGAACCCCCTAGGCTAGTACATTTACCCATCACTGATACAACGTATGAGGTTAAACAAAGGCAGTTTCAGTACCAATGTCATGGTCAGGAAGAGCAACTGATAGCTTCTAACAAGAATAGTCTGATGTCAGGGCCACCCAGCATTCAAAATTATGTACAGCCCATGCAGCAGCTACAAAAGCAACAACATTGGCAGCAGCTACAACAGCATACATCAGTTACACACGCTACATACCACAGAGAAAACGCTCCTTATCCCATGAGAATGGAGGCTAATGGTCATCATATACCAGGAACTTATATCAGGTGCCCAGTACCAAGAATGCCTGTGGGAGGTTCTATAACTAATGGCCACCCAATCTCTAGGCCCAGGGCAGCCATGGTAAAGCATTGGCCAAGACCAGCAAATCAGCAACAGCAAGCAATGCAGATGCCATTTAAAGCTTTCATGCAGCATGGGAAGGAGACCATGGCAGGATATCCTAATAAGATGGCTGAACAAATACAGGTTGGTGTATGTACTCATTTTTATCATCCAATTATGTGGTGCATTGAGACAAATATTTTCATATGACATAGGTCATTGTAAAACTGGCAACTATGAAATTCTATGTGACATTGAATATAATTTATCAAAAATTAACAAGTGATATTATGAAAAGCTCAAGTCATAACTTTGATTAATTACTTATCAGCTAGACAAAAGAAATTATCTTGCAATGAATGTCATTTTTACTTCCTCCTCTGCATGGCTTTTGCACCTTTGTCAGAAATTAAGATACCATATTATTAAAATATTTCAATTATTCAACTTCAAGTAATAAAATGGAATTTGAACAGTGGTCATGTTGATTGCATCATGTATGATATGAATATTGTGTTGCATTTAAAGNCTTTTAATGGGGACATGACAGGGACAGGGAACACATTGGCTTCAGTGGAATCAGACATTGAAAAGTGTCAACTACAGTTTAAAAAGTTAGAGGAAATAGCACAAACCAAAGAAAAGGAACAGAAGAAGTTACTGGAGCTCAAACTAAAATTTGCCCAGCACATGAAGAAGAAATATGAAGAACGTCAGAAACTGCTTCTGGGTAAAGGTAGCATCCAAGCTGCAAGGCCAAATTATCAATGCTTTAATATCTCACCAACTTCTGAAAGGATGGACAAGAATACAATGCGTTGTGAATCAGGGCAATCAGTTAAAAAGAGATACAGTCAAGAAAGTGTGCCCCATACTGTCTCACCACAAAAGAGTGCAAAGGATGCTCATCCTAGATCTGCAAATCTACCCTGCCCACCTCCTGCACACAGTAACACTGAAGAAGGTAAACATTTGAAAGGGGCAGCATTAGAAAAATGGCGAAACCCTCCACCAGCTCATTGTCAACCACCAGTACCTTTGAGAGCACTGCCGCAGCCAGAACATGCACCTACAAATAGCCTTGCAGGTAAAACTGTGAAAGTTCAAGGAAAAGCTTTGATATCATCTAGATACAGCCATACAACAGGCCACAGCACAATGGACTCTTCATTTTACAAAATGGGGTTTGCTGCTAAAAGTAAAATTGAGGCAAAAATCGAGCAAGGGACCCCAGTTAAGGTTCAAAGGACCGAGGCCCACTCCAGCACATCAGATGCCAAAGGAGGAGTATCTGTGACATCAGCTAGAGCTAACTACTGGTACAACAGTGGAAAGCAGATGTCAGCCAACCACGCAGATCAAAGCAGGCAGAAAGATTTCGTGTCACAGAACAAGATTGTTGACCTGACAGAAGATTATGAAGATGGTCATTGGAAATCGCTGCAGCAAGAACGGAATAAAACAGCCGTGAATGAAAGGTACTCAAAAAGATACAATGAGTTTGATAAGGCAGAAATTCAAGTGCAAGAGGCGATGCAAGTTGCTCGCACCAACAGAGCAAAGCAAGAGGCACAGTATTTTGGAGATAGGTACCAGCATTCTTTCAGTGGCCAAATGGCTTTAAACCATGCACAGATGCCCAGACATACACAGACTCTGCTCAGTTCATCTTCTGCATATGGCCCACAGCAACAGCAACAACAACACCTTTTGGCAAATGCCCCCCAGACAGGATTGGCTGCACCAGGAGCTGTTCCAAGAGAACCCCCTAGGCTAGTACATTTACCCATCACTGATACAACGTATGAGGTTAAACAAAGGCAGTTTCAGTACCAATGTCATGGTCAGGAAGAGCAACTGATAGCTTCTAACAAGAATAGTCTGATGTCAGGGCCACCCAACATTCAACATTATGTACAGCCCATGCAGCAGCTACAAAAGCAACAACATTGGCAGCAGCTACAACAGCATACATCAGTTACACACGCTACATACCACAGAGAAAACGCTCCTTATCCCATGAGAATGGAGGCTAATGGTCATCATATACCAGGAACTTATATCAGGTGCCCAGTACCAAGAATGCCTGTGGGAGGTTCTATAACTAATGGCCACCCAATCTCTAGGCCCAGGGCAGCCATGGTAAAGCATTGGCCAAGACCAGCAAATCAGCAACAGCAAGCAATGCAGATGCCATTTAAAGCTTTCATGCAGCATGGGAAGGAGACCATGGCAGGATATCCTAATAAGATGGCTGAACAAATACAGGTTGGTGTATGTACTCATTTTTATCATCCAATTTTGTGGTGCATTGAGACAAATATTTTCATATGACATGGGTCATTGTAAAACTGGCAACTATGAAATTCTATGTGACATTGAATATAATTTATCAAAAATTAACAAGTGATTTTATGAAAAGCTCAAGTCATAACTTTGATTAATTACTTATCAGCTAGACAAAAGAAATTATCTTGCAATGAATGTCATTTTTACTTCCTCCTCTGCATGGCTTTTGCACCTTTGTCAGAAATTAAGATACCACATTATTAAAATATTTCAATTGGTCAACTTCAAGTAATAAAATGGAATTTGAACAGTGGTCATGTTGATTGCATCATGTATGATATGAATATTGTGTTGCATTTAAAAATTAATAAGATGAATAATTGAAAAAAATATGATAGATAGCAGTGAATCTTTGGCATTTACCTTACATAAATAGGTGGCTTACAATACTTTTAAGAAGATTAAAAAGAGAACAACAAATTAGCATGTATATATGCATATAACCTTTCCTATGCACTGTAGCACTTATAAATTTTAGGACCAAACATGGGAAGGATGTTTTATAAGTGGATGTACATCTAATTGAATAATGATCAACTTTTATACATTAATGAAAAGTACAAAAATGAACTGCATACAAATTAAGCAAAATTTTGATTTGAGAAAAGTACTTGACTTGTGTTTGGAATCTGTATTATAAAATAGTGGAAAAGAAATATGATGTTGAACTAATTTGAAATAAGAAGAAAAATATGTAGGAAAAATCTGTTTAAGTAGGAGCATACGCACCAAATTATGTTTTCACTGTTAAGTTATGGTTGCCTGCTAAGGCTTTTTTTTTCACATATTTAGTCATTTTTTCTAGGGTGCTAGGCATTTTCAGCTGGGACATCCATTGCACTCATGCTCCCAAGTCAGCCCTAGAAAAGAAGGCATTTCTGTCGTTCCTCAGACCCCTACAAGTCCCAGAAATGGTGCTCATTTTCCTTCTCATGGTAACCAGACAAGTGCTAGTGGAGTTTCCTACCCGAATAGAGCCATGCAAGCACCTGGGCAGTTTATCAGGATGAACATGCAGAATGCACATTTACCAGAGAAAGCAGTGGATGTTAAAATGCAAATGACTGCTACAGGGCATTCACAGTCAAGACTACAGGACATGAACCAAGAACATTTCAGAGCAGGCATCAGAAGGGAGAATCAAGGCCATGAAAATGGAACCCATTTAAATGGATATCCAGGTCACCAGTTTTCTCCCGGAGATGGCCAGCAATTTCAGGGCAGAGTTAGCCTTGGTGTTAACAGCAATTGTGTAGAAATGATGCCCCCAACCCCAGCACAGCCCTGCGATACTACAAGGGACAGTCTGAATGTGTGTGCTGTGTGCAGAAGAGAAGCATCATTCCTGTGCTCTGGGTGCAAAGACAGCTGGTATTGCAGCCATGAATGCCAGGTAAGGTGATCTTCATTTAATATACGACATTTTCATTGTTCTAGATTGCTGTCTTCCTACAGTTTTGGAGCACTATGTAGTTAACTTGTCATTGCATGGATAAATGAAACTGTATTTTTGAAGACCAATTATGGTTGTTTATATATATATAATAGTATAATAATGAAAATAAGGAAGTGTTTATACTAATTACTCGCCAACATAAATGTAGTATATGACATATTATTTTTTATCATTTTTACCATTTCAGAATCAGGCCTGGCCCCTACATTGCAGTGAGTGCAAACGATAGAGGTCTGTTTTATGGACCTTATGGTTTGCCTAAGGAAAATTAAAACAGCAGTATTCTCAGGGAAACATTAAAATAATGTAAGCTATGAGATGCTCTAGGCCTTTATTAAATAACATCAGTGAGATTTATACATTTATAACCGTGGGAATTTTTGTGTACAGCCTCCATAGTAGCTTGAAGGTTGTATAAACCAGCACACACATAAAAATTTAAATATAATATTTGGTTTTGAGTTGACATTGAATATTTATATAAATGTTATTTATACAGATTAATACCTGTATGCCTTACTTTATATTTTTCCTCCTAACTTATTTCATAAATTTAAACTGAATTTATAGCAATTCTCAAATAACTGTTTTTGAGTATATAATTTATGAAATCATATAAAATTGAAATTAAGAATATATTTATATATAACATATAGGATAAGTGTATGTAATTGATTTGCTTTTTCTGTTTTAAAATACATTTCCTTATTTGTTGTTTGTTGAGTAATGTATATATTTGTGAATTAAAAAAGATGGCAGTGTGGTGATTTATGTATTAAACTTGTTACAGCAATATTGTTGCCAAGTATACAAGTTAATTTGGTCAGATGTTGCCTTGTGCTCTCGATATTGCCATAAGTTTACTCAGTGCACCCTTCTGGCTGCATGTGAACAATCAGGATGGTCACATCAGTAATGGCACATAAAATATATGAGGGCAAAGGCTAAAATGTGATATGCAGCTAGAATATATACTGCACAAAATGCATAAATACGTTAAACATTTTACTCTCTTACTGGACCAATGGCATATTGCATAATAGGCTTAATGTTGACATGTTCAGTGTGGTCTTGTGTTATAAATATTGTCTTGCTTTAAAGTGAGACTTTAAGTTATTTAAGTTCATATTACATAAACACTAAACAGTACCTGTTTTTTACCTTAAACATAATTTATATTGTTGAAAACTGATAAATTATTAGTTCAAAACGTTATGTATGGAATTGGTTTCAGAAAGTATATATGATATTATGTTTTTTACTTATTTTTGTTATTTTTAAACAAGTGGTACCTGGGTATAATTAAACTAAGCTTAATACACAGGCACCACTTGATCAAGCTTTAGCCTGAAATTTGCTTTCAAAATGAGGATTTTTCTGTCTGCTTGGTGCTTTAATGTGCTTTTATATTTATTTGCAATGTTAAGATATTTGAGGGACACATTATTATTAATGTTAAGTATTTGAAACAGCTGTATTGCTGCCTTTATGAAAGTGCAGTTTAATTATTTTAATTTGTTATATTTATTGTTTGTAGCATGTTAAACAGAAATACAAGTTTAATTTTTGTTGTTGTCATTGCAATGAATTTTACAAAATATATTTTTTAATAATTCACTTTCATGAGACTGACAATTCTAATGTTGTGATATTGAAAATATGAATTGGAAAACTGTTTTTGCAACAAATAAAACATTCCTCTCGGATGATCTGTAATAGATATACAGTTTAATTGTGTAAAATGTTATTGTGCCACCAGTGGTGAGCTAGAGGCACCTAGAATTTACATCCCTTATTTTCATATGTGTTCATAATCTGCCCATCTGGAAACTTGCTACAATTACTGGGTTATTTTAAACATCTTCACTAAAAACATTAACAATCACTGTTTGGTATGGACACAAGATGAGAAAGTTTTTTTCAAGGGTAAACAACAAATTCCATACTAACCAATGGTAAATGAATCCATTACGACATTCAAAGTGAGTCCCCATTTTTCATCGAAAGGTTTTTAATGTAATTATCTGTTAAGAGATTATCACAGAGGGTAGCCATCTATGGAGGTAACATGTAACAACCTTTTTGGTGGTGAAATAGAATTCATTATATGTCTGTGAGTTGTTTGCAATGTCTTTATTGTGAAATATGGATCTCAGAGTTGTTATCCTTTTAAAATGCCTTTTCCCAGTGATCCCCATGACCCAACTGGTGGTACGTATGTATGAGGTGGCTCTAATGCTCAACCTGGGTTATCACAATGCTAATGTTATGCAGCTTTAAGCTATTGTTATTTTATGTTTTATTTCCTTTGACAGTTTTCCAATTGTGAATGAAATATTCAAATTATGTGCTAAATTTTAAGGTTATGGTGTTACTTAAACAGATTGAACAATTGATTGTAGGCATGTGCAATGCAATGGTCTCAACGCTAATAGCCATTTATTCCTTCATTTCAACTCAAGTCAGAAAAAGATATTAAATAGTGATAAGTATAACATTTCCGTATGTAAACGTAAAGAGCTTGTGAATTTAAATGTTGATTCACCTTTTTTACGTGCACATTTGATCTTTTATAATATTTTATTTTCTAAATTCAATTCTAACACCTTTTTATAAAAATGTGGACTGAAAATTGATTTCAATCTAGTAGCACAGGTTGGTCCAGGAGGCATGTCCTTCCCCTCTCCACCTTCTTGAAAATGTTTCATGGAAACAGGCTGTACAAAATGAGACAAAAACATCAGTCCCTGCATGCTAAGCTAAATCCATAACTGTGTTGTAGACTAGTCGGATATTAAATATTATGTGGTTGTAGGGTTTTGAACACTGACATTCCATATATAGTAGCTATAAAGAGAAGTATTCATTTCAACACAACGGGAGATTAAGAAGTCCATGATTCATGTAATAATTTGAATAGTTTTTTATATATATAATAGATGGAATATAGAAGTAGACATATATTAGCCAATGTTTCTGCCAAGGTCTGCATAAAAAAGAAACAGTGAAAACTGAGTAAACCAGGAACAGCAATACAAATAAGATAATGTATACAAAAACAGTTATTATATTTAAAACAAGATTCTCATATATTATATATTTATTACAGGGTTTTTGCTTTATGACAAATTTCCATGTAAATGAAGTTCCCAGTAACATTTTCAGTTAGGCTTGTAGCTACCTCTGTTGTGCTCAATTAATCAAAATCCTACTACATCAGGCTATGGTACAGCTACTGGTCCTCATAGTGATCTCATGTTGAAAACTTTGGTCTAGGTAACCAGTTATCGCAGTTTTGAATTCAAATTTATGCACATCCATACTAATAATTTTATATACTGAATGAGGACTTGGTTTGCATATTACAAAATCCAGTTAGTATTCTAATAACTAGGAGCAGAACTAATCAATGGGCACAACTTGCACATGATGCAAGTACTTTGATATATTTTACTTTTAATACACATGGCATCAAGAATATTTTACCAAGAACTGTTCAAATGTCAATTTCGTGCCAGTTATGATTGAAACTATGTTAAACCACACTTTTATGGAAAGATTTAACCTTCAGGGGTTTACAAGTACGTAAAAAGAACCTTAGAACTGATAATAAATCCACTTTAGGGCCCATTTTCCTAGGCCAAACTTGGCCGTTTTGGTTGAACATTCTTGGTAATACATTCTCGATGACGTGGAGTGGTTAATAAAGAATACTGCAACTTCATAAAATATTCAAAAATTTTTCTTTCAAAAAGTTAAATTTAAATTGTATATATCATATGCAAATATATTTATAGACTAACCAAGATTTTCTACAGTTTAGGAGCCAAGATTGATTAAAGTTGACCAAAAATTTTATAATGGGAAAAATCCGTATTGGATAAAAGAGAAAGTAAAAAAAAAACTCCAGTTATTGGAGTTTTGTGTAACATACATGTGAAAAGCTGCAAAGCCAAAATACCAGTACAATAAGTCCATTTAGTCCTTTTATTATGGTTGAATGATATCAAAAGGGGCAAGACTTCTATACATCATTTTAAATTGTGACATATTGGATGGCCAATTTGGTAAGTACATGTCTTCAAAACTTGAGCTTAATTTACTGTGGTGGTTATCTTGGAATTTTAGCAACTTTGTCAACAGCTTGTTTGTCCAATAAGCAGCTTCATTAGCTCTAAATACTAGGCTTTATTATTATTTTTTTCTTTTTTGAAATTGTCCATCTTTATAAAGACTTCTAAGCCATTTTAAAGGTATTAGTAGCGTGGCTTCCAGGCAACTGAAAGCTGTTCTCAAATGCAGCCACTCTAATGAAAATCAATGATATTAAATTGTTATGGATAGAAGTATATTTCCTTTCATTATTGTCATCTGAAATGGGAAAATGCACCTTTGTTTTATGCATTGGTGACATTAAAGCAAAATGAAAATGCACTTGTAATGTATAGTTTAACAAGCACTATCTGTATAGGTATATGTATTCATAATCTATTTCATGACCTTGCAAGTCGTTCCACAAAAAAGTGAAAATTTGATCACATCAGTGCTGCACATTTTATGTAATATTTTGATAAATATGATTTGCCCCATTATCTTCTTCCAATACTGTTGTACCCTCCGATATGGAAAGAAATCAGTAATTAAATAGTAATCAAACAAATATCCAAATATTAGACAATATGTTTGCTTTTTTGTGGAAAGCCTCTAGCACAAGTTTGCATTTAATGCACATACTGTATAAATGTATGTATTCTGTGACAGTTTTGTTGGGTTTGGATATTTGAGATACATGTGGTAGAATTCTTTTAGGTGTTTGTGTGTGATAAAAAACTTGTATATTTAATAGTATATTTAATAGGGTAAAGAGCTATATTTATTTCACATGAAATTTGTTTTCGAAACATATTTTTAAGATATTGCTTCATTTTATTATAACCTTAATAGATACTCTATGCACTGATTACCTATTTTTCTAAAATGCTGGAGTGGATTTGGCTGACAGTGTGTTATAAGTATTTATAATATAAATAACATAAACAAGTTGCCTTTGCTTAGTATTTAAAAAATAACTGCTTACTCTATTTTTAGTACAGAATATTTGCAAAATTTATTGTTGATCTATCCACATATAAAATTCTTACTGTTCTTATGTAATTATGTCCTAAGGTGGAATTATTGTTTTTGTTATATGGATCTTGTTATCTTTATTAAATGGTAAAAAGGAAAACATCCCTAGTTGCTTTTTTTCTTTTTTCTACTATTTTAAAAGGCACAAGGGACAAATTCATATGCAAAAGGTTTTCATCACACTTTCAGTGCTTTTCTCTTCATGTGCACATCAAGTGCACCTTGAACATACATTAAGTTTTAAATCTTTACATATAGATAAAAAATGCTGTAGTTTTGAATGCACTATGTTGCCCTCAATTGTCATTTAAAGCCCGTGATGATGATCTTTGTTTTACAACAAAATTTGCTGTTTTAAACTAGACATAACAAAGTCACTTAGTGTTTTTTAATGAAGAACTCGCCACATTTTGATTTTTAATAAATTGCCCCCATGCCTTTAAATAATGATAAAATTGACATTTCAGCCACCATAAAAGTCCTACAATACCTTAAGGCCTTGCTGTGGCAAAAATAATTTTACTGGAAATTTCAACATTCCACATTTTATCAGCTAGCAACAACAGTAAAATAATAAAAAAAGAAATTGAATGATTCAAAAAGTTCTATAGATCAAATTTTCTCAACAGTTTTGGACAAGATATCCCTTGGTGATAAAGGGTACATCGTTGAAATTCCAAGGATTTTCTCTTATAAAAGTGCAGCACACACCTTATGTCTTAAAAATTGTAAAGCAATTTGTATTCAGACAAATACCCAGACTAAAATTTGACAAGTCTCAGGTTTTTGCCTTATACATAACTAAACAAATTGGTCTTATTGATAATGGTTTACAGTTCACACCAGCCATCTTGAGTCAAATTCCTGCACATTATGTGATGGTCTACAAAGTAACAGCAGTGGCACTATTTCACTCCCCATTTCTTTTCAAATGCAGTACACACTTTTGCACAAGTTAAAGCTGCAGACAAGGGGTAACTGCATATAGAAAATTCCTTCTCAGTATAGTCAACATTTACCTGAAAATTATTAAGAAAGAATATTTAAAAAGTTATGGTATAATCTTTCCTAGTATGCTAACTTCATATGTAATGAGATAACAAAGAATGTTTCACTCCTGGACCAAAGAACTGCTAGATTCATTGATATGATTGCATAATAATCTACATTTATAAGAATTCAGGCATGAGATTAGTATGATAATATTTCAAATAATCAATAAAGCAAAAGTGTAGCTAGGATTTCAAGTATATCCAAATATGTTAAATAAAATACATTCATTTAATATTTCAATTTAAAAATTAAAACAATAATACATTGTAATATACTTACACTTCCATGAGCCATAGCACCAATAACAAACACAACAGGTTTATTATCGGGGACCAAATCCTCCGCATCAACAATTTTGTCTGCATTGAAGGACATCTTTATCTTTTCACAGCCAGTGGGAAGATGGTCTATCACAGGATTTTTTATAACCTATAAAATTTATCTAAATGATAAATGTTTGCATAAAACAGATACTTTTCAAATTGGATGCTTTATAAAAAATGCCATTTCCCGGTCATGTTCTAAGACTGGGTTCCCATGCTTATCTAGATCGGTCTTACTCCCTGGTAAGTCTTACTGAATTGCTGTCAACTAACCGGCTTAAATGTCTGTCACGCCAGAGAGGAAAGATAATTACCCCCTAACAGCTTTACTAGGCATGACAGGTATTTAAGCCGGTTAAGTTGATAGCAATTAAGTGAGACTCCCCAGGGAGATAGATCGATCCAAATATCTGTGAGAATGGTCCCTAAGTCTTTTTCATAAAAAGATAGTGAAGTGCATATGTACACCAAATATCAGTGTAGACAACTGCATAACCAATGGTTATGTTGTCTTTACACCATAGCAACAAAATTTGATTGTCCAGTTTAATAAAACTGGCAGGACAACTCACTAGTATTGTTGGCCTTGTTGATCCAACTTAACAAATCAGCATGTTTTGTTTATCACTGGGTCGTCGGCCATCTTGGCCACTTAACGCTAGTGGCTCTTCTTGGCAATATATATTTATTTAATAATACATTTATTTTAAGTCCAAATTCCAAATCTGTTCAGTAGACTTTACAATAAATAAATAAATAAATAATGTGCGTTACATATAGTGCAGCTAGACACTTGGTCACTACAATAAATTTGTGTTGTCGATCTCGCCTCCCTCGGAAGGATACAGCCTCGCTGCCGTATGAGGTGCTGAGTGATAGCAAGTTTACAATGACATTCTCTGGCTGACCAGGAACCCTGTTTCAACCCCTAAATGCTGAGTGCCAAGCGGAGACAAAGCAGATACTGTTTATAAAGGACTGGTATGTCCCCAGACGGGGTCAAACCCATGTTCTCCTGCTACAGAAGCAGACACTAACCACAAGGCCATCTGGTTGATACGTCAGGTGGATGGTGGATATCCCAACATAAACAAGCTGTACCAATTTGTTAAGTTGGATCGCCAATTTTAATTACCTTGGAATTTTTACTACCCTAACTGCATACAAATTGCCTTTTCCCAAACCTAATAACCATACTGACAATACATATGATTATTAAGTAAGAAAAATATACAAAGCACTGGCAAATAACGTGAAGTGATATCAAGTGAAATTTAAATAAATTTTAGTGTGTAGTTCTTGATGAAGTAAAATATCAAGTAAACTCTTAACTACACAATTCAATTTCAAGTATACTTACTTTCAGAAGCTTCTGTGGGCCATCTGATGCATGGATGCTGAGTTTATGTAAAAGTTGAACTAGAAAATTAACCATTAAAATTATTTAAATATCCGTTATTGACAAATAAAATGTGAACATTTGAATCATGAAAGTGCACTGTTTACTCAAAGTTAACTTATATTAATAAATATATTAGCAGGTGGCATCTTTATGCAAAAACCTTAAGCTTAGGATTACAATGATTATAAAGTCAATTATGGTCTAGAATGAGTTAAGAGAATTGTCCTTTCCCCTCTGGATAAAAACAATTATGGGGGAAATAGACATGCTAAGCAATGGCTGATGTAAACAATATATAAATGTCTTTGATTTTTTATTAACCTGCTGTTATTCAATACCCTGGATAAAGACTAGTATTTTGCTATTAGAAATATACATGCATGTAGGTTACCATGGTGCTAATACGTGACTTACCCATAAGTCCACAAAACCGATCAAAGGTCCTAGGTATCCTGGTCTGAGGGTTGACCTCTATCAACACATGTTTTTCTGTGCGGATATAAACTTGTAATAAACCAGCTCTGTTTAGAGGACTATCCATAAGCATTAATAAGCACTATAAAAGTAAATAACAAAACTGTTATTAATGTTCAAATTATATCTTCAGACTTTTGAACAAAGATTTACTTCTAGAGAACCACATAACACATGGTGCCAATATTTTACCTTAAAATCTAATATCTGTGTATGTTAATATATTATATAGACTGGGAAAAAAGTTTTCCTACCTGGTGAGTGATATCTGGTCTACATGTTGATGGATCTTTTTTAAATCTCTTCATGATACTCCTATGTTTATCACAATTAAGCAGTTCATACTGTTTTCCAACCTTTACATAAAAAAACAGAAAAAAATAGAATTTACCCCTAGGTTATATGTTATCATATTTAAATGAAAAACTTCACGATGTTTTCAAATTATTTTTATCATTACCATAATTACTAACTTAATGTATGAGAATCAAAGTTATGAGGTAAACAAGGCAGCAAACATTTTAATGTATTTGAGTGTCATAAATCAGCAAGTTTAAAATTAATAAGTCAAATAGTTTTTCATTTATTGCGTTAACAGTACAAAAAATGCACGGTGGCGGCGAAGATAGGTGTAGGTGACGGAACTGTAATACAGAGACACCAAACATACTGAATCTGTGATTCTGTACATAAAAAGCGAATGAAATTTTTATATTTTACAATATCATTGAAATTACACAACTATTTTAATTCATGATATACATCAAACCTTTGCTGTCTCTAATGAAGCATTTTCCAATATTACAATCAATCGCCTTTCTTGATCACGTTCGTGCAGAGTTAGTTTGTGTTTTGGAGTCTTCACGTGTTCTCCAGTGTTTGGATCTGCCATTTTGTCTATTTTGATCTCGAAGGAAGCGCGATTCCCTCGAGATTACCCGTTCAGGGTGCTAATTTCAGTTTGCATGGATTTTAACTGCATTTGTGCTGAAACACTCTCACATACCTTTCTAAAAGTTCCAAGCGATTCATTCAACGTTCATCATTAACATTATTTTAATATTATTCATCTGGCCTGTCCGGCTCCTCTTGATGCCAAGTTTAAGGTCAACCAATCAGATTTCAAACATATTGATTTGTTTCAAAATGGCGGTCTCCGATGAAATGCCGTTCAGTGTGGATGGTATTTTCTTTGAGTTTTTCTGAATTTCGGGATATTGTAGTATTTTAAACCATGAATTCCGACGGTATACATACAAGGCTCAGTAGAATTTCATCTTTCCAACAGGCGGGCTTTGCCTTAACTGGATTTGCGGCAATGGCTGGTGTGACGATAAAAGCAATATCGCTGCTTCGTCGAGCTAAGTTCTTTCAAAACAAGACGAAGCCGGCGTATGAAGATGAAAAAAGTAAGTGATGAGACATCTTGATCAGTCTGAATAAATACAAGTAGTCTTATTCTCCGCCTCAACTGTCATAAATGAGTGGTAGTGTTTCAAATACTGAGTATACCGACTTTAGCCTTGAAACCTTTTGACATATTATTTTTTATTTTCTTTCCGCAGGACATTATACTGTATGTCAATATCATATATGCCATTATGGTCACCGACTTTGGTATTAGTACTTGTCATTTCTAGGCAAATTGAATAAATTCTGAAATGGACAAGACAGTTACCTTCACATATGCCACGTGGGTTATTAGAAATTTCTCATATTGTTCACCTGCACTTGGGATATGACCATAATCCGAAATAGAGTGCAATATACTGGAAAAATTAGTCAAGATCAATAAACACAATGGAAACAGTCATTCCCAACAAAATAGGATTATATAAAAGTGAAAGTTATTGTTTAGTAATTAATATTGTTGATACAACTTAACAAATTGGGACAACTTATTTATCATTGGGTAGACCGCCATGTTGGGGAGTGGCTCTTCTTTGCCAGTATTATTGCCAAGAAGAGCAACTTGACAACATGCTGTTCTATTCTTCTTCTCCTTGATGCAAATGCCCATAGCAAATATATTTTTTGTCCAGTTTTTTTTTAAATAAAAATTTATTAATTGATATTGTAATTATTTATTGTAATTGATAAAACAACCGCATCCATGTTTTTTAAACAATGTTTGGAATTTCATCTATTTTTGTTGAACTGTATTTTCAGGTATGACTTTGGAAGAAATTGAGGGATATACCAAATCTCCTAACATAAACCTTAGAAGAAGTGCAGAGCAGCTGCTTTTGGAAAAAGTTCTCAGTAGTGGTAATGTTCATATCGTTCTGTTTGATACATAATGGCTGCTTATTTAACTGAATATATAATGTTAAATGGTATTTTGGATCAGTGATGCATTTTTATCTCAATAAAATGTAGTTTGATATCAATTTTATGAGATTTTCATGAACATTTTATGCAGTTGTGATGTATGTGATCTCATGTTCCATTTATCATTAATCTTCTAAATTATTTTTTTGTTGTTTTCTTATAGAATCATTTTTATAAATTTTAGCTCATGTGCTGGATGAGCTGTTAAAGTGGTGCCTGTGTGGTGATGAAAATGAAATAGCCAAAGCCGCAACTGTGCTGTGTGTCCTCATTAAGTCAGGTGATAGATTGCAGTCATTAAATATAGTGAAGTGTGCAACGAGAAAGTGATAGCTGTATAAATATTGAAAACTTCATTAATTTATCACTCTCTTTGTTTTTCCAATCAATCAGATGATAGTAATAATAAATCGTCTTTTTTGGTATGCACTTTTCATGTTTTTTGACATATTTGAACAAGTATATATTTGCATTTTCTCTTTCAAATTTCGCAGTGGACACTAGGGGTCACCCCTGGGAGAAGCCCTACATCCTTACCCTGGCTGAAATGATCTTACAGTCCCTGAATCCTCAGAGATCATACAAAGTTCAGGCTGATGATTTTACAGTTTCTGAGAGAATCCAGCGCCTTTCTACTTGTGCATTGTTTGAGTTGGTTTGTGATGCAAGTAAGTCAGCACCATTGTTTAATTCATATAGGCCTTTGTTGCTCTTTTTTTATGCATTGTTAATTAGTTTTTCTTTTATGTAAAGAAATCAAATATCATTCAGTTAATTTTTCTCAGTTTTTTATACAAAGTTCATAAAACCCTTCTGACTACCTATTTGTTGTGGAGAGGATTTTTTAGACAAAGAAATGTTTATACAACAGTTAATGTAGAAATTACTGTTTTTCTTCTAGCTGCTCAGAAAGACTTCCTTGTTGCTAACTATCCAGATATAGTACCATGTATTCTCCACCTGGTTGTCAACAGTCGCTGCAAGGAGGTCAGCAGATATGCTTTGTTCCTCACACATCAGATTGCCATACAGGGTGAGACTAAAGCTTTTGCTGTTTCAGTTGTTGATGAAGTCAATTTGAAAATATATCTTTTTTATCTTTTGTTTGTGGGTGAGCATGCACTTGATAACCCATATTTAGTTCAAGGGGCATTTTTAGTATGATTTAGTAACTAAAACTTAAGTGAAGATAATACTTGTTTTTATTCACAATTAGGTGGAGAGGAAAGAGGTGGATAGGTCTGAAGTATTACATTTTTCTGACACTTCCTACACTATTTACTCAGATAACTTTTTTTTTCAGAATCTACCAGACAAGCCCTGATAGATGCTAATGGTGTGAAAATTGTAGCGCAGTCACTGATGATTCATCAGGTAAATGTTTCTTTTCACCCCTCTTTTTTATTTTGCTTGTCCTTTTGCTTAAAAGATTGAATTTCTAAACTAGAGACATAAATTTCTGGTGCTATTTCATTTAGTACTACATGAAAGATACATGAATCATTTTTTGGTTTCAGGGAGATCCAATGCTGCAGAGACTAAGTCTTCAGATGTTAACTGTTTTCTCTACAATGCCAGAATCCGGTATGCTGATCAAAACGTTCTACACTATATAAGCATATCTTAAAGTGTTGATTTCCACCTTAAAGCTAAGAAATTAATTATAGGAGTGGAAATTTTTTTAAAAATCTTGATGTGAATTTTTCATTTTGCCTAAAAATGAAAGTTTTCAGTAAAATTGTATACAAAACAGTTCTTTTTGTAAAACATGCCCACAGTTACCACTAACTATTGATAACTTTTATTGAAGCCCTACTGTTTTTATGTAACTCATTGTAATGAGGCATATTTTTTTGTACATAGTTTGCATAAAGAGTTTTTATGTCCACTTTAATTCATTCTCTTGATGTAAATATATCTATATCAATTGTTAAGATTTATTCTACTATCTACATTCTAAAAATGTTATTCTCTTTATTTTATTATATTTTATTTGCAAATGAACGGGTGTATTAATTAATTTTTTTATATAAATTTTGTATGTATTAGTATTGAAATTCATGCCAATGTTCTCCCAAATCAGATAGTAAGCAGATGTTGTCAGGTATAGCTGAGGAAGGTGTCATTGTGCCCACTGTAGTGTGCCTTAAGTCTGAGGATCCGGAATGTACATACTGGGCTGTGGCCCTTTTACATGAATTTGCCATAAATGGTGAGTACACAAACTCCCCTCTTAGTTTCCATATCTGTTTAGATCTATTGTGAATATTTGAGTCATTAGAAATAGTTATTGTAAAATTTATTTTTTTGTCATTTGAGAATACTTACATAATATGTACTACAGTGTATAACAACTGTTTTTAATAAACATTTAAATCTTAGTTGTTGATTTCTGAGAACATTTCCAGATTGAATTTAAACAGTGATCACAGTTTGCTTCTTTTTTTAGATGTGTGTAAAGGTCGTATTATAGAGGTGTACGGTTTGCTGCGAGCCTTGTCACAAACTCTCGTTGATAGTGAAGCAAACCAGCAGCGTTTGCTTCTAAGGCTTTTATGTTTTCTTGCCGTTGAGAATGGTGAGTTGTATCAGTTTTTCAATAGTTGTCCATCCCAGAATGAAAAAAAAAAATCTACACACTTCTAGACTGCATTGTTTTTTACAATCCACTCTTTGCCAAGAAAATTCACTTGACTGAAGCACTTCAAGAAATGGATGTTAATTTCCATGGTTTACGGTGCATGAAACAGTCTGTTACATCTTCACCAGGCATAAATTTTAGATATTTGGCTTTGATATATGTGGTTGGTATTCTTGTTTATTTTTTAATGTACTTCCCTTGCTGAATGAATTTCCTTTACCATTTTCATTACTGTGATTTTATCATTGGATTGAGAGATTTATCTTGGTTTTCAGTGGATAGGTGTAGTGATCTACGTAACCACTTATGAATATTAATTTATTTCAGAAACCTTCAAGAATGATATATTGCAGTGCAATGACATTGTAAGTCGCCTGCCAGTATTTTATGCCAGTGGAGACAAGGATGTGGTACATTGGGCTCTTGTGTTAACACATGATTTAGCTATGACAGGTGAGGGGTAATGTTATATAGTAGTTTTTTTCTTTATCAAATTATAATGAAAAGAAAAGTTATTGCATTGTAGGCCTATTGGTTGTTGGACAGTTAACATGTTTTTCATTGTGAAGTTAATCATCCTACACAGTTATAACTGAATGACCTGATGTTACATTTTAACTCTGTCTGAGCAGACAATTAATGTTTTGTTTTTTTTTCTTAAGGCAAGGCAGCCACCACATCCCTTTTAAACACTTGTCCAGATCTAGTGAGTGCCATGGTCCCACTGACAGCCCAGGCTGAGTATGTTCTCAAGAGACTTCTGGCAGAGACTTTGGGATTCTTCTGCTCAAATGGTAGGTTAATATTTTACAGATAACATTGAAAACTCCAATTTATATGATGATGTGGTAGAATCATAAAAATAAAGACCACTTTATTTTATAGATTATGCAGGTCTTATGTATCTTGACTTTCTGCAACGAAAGAAAAAATAAATTTTGTTGGTTGTATATATTTATAAAGAGAGACAGAGACTTCTCGTCTGGATTTTTCATACAGATCTTTTACTAGTAATTGTCCAATGGTTATAAAAAAACAGATATGAATTTACCTAAATTGTCTTCTTTACCTTTCTCAATTGGATACAGAACATTACATGCTGAAGATTATCCGTAATGGTGTCTTGGTCACCATATTGCAGTATGCCACCTGTGAGGATGAACAGTTAAAGTACTGGTCGGCTGCTGTTATGCTTAACATGGCTATGACATCAGGTACTTTTGTACGCACATTCCAAATTAGCAAAATGTTTTACAGATTTTTTTCTTTCTTGCACATCTTTAGGGTCCGTGTTTGTCTGTGTTTGTCCGTGTTTTAACCAGTGTTGCAATAGGCTAAACATGTTTAAATGTTGAAGTTCCAAACTTTTGGGTGTTCATATTGAATTCTAAACTTATATGTTTTTAATTGGATCTTTTTTACCACAATCAGAACTATTTCAATAGTTGAAAGCCCTTGGATATGCAATGTCCATATCTAGGCTGAAAATACTGTATGAGATGATTGGTAAGAGATTGACATCAGATGTTTCTTTATCATTGGAAATTGTTCTTGAAATGACATGCTATAAGTACAGATACACATGCTTTTTGTGCCCAACTGTAAACATAACATCGTGTGTCTAGATGCAGTAAAGCTGGAGATTCTGCAGGCAGGTGGTCTGTCAGTCATCATGGAGCTAGCAATAGGAGACCACAGCAACACACAAATCTCTGTTATGGCTGCCAAGAGCTTGGTCATGCTGGGGTTCACAGGTAGATATCTGAATGGTGATCATTCTTTTTGGCATTAACAGTACATACCAAGAGATTTGTAAATGTCAGTTCATATTGTAGAGTAAGGCAATTAAGCACGAATATATTAATATAAATGTTTTTAAATACTAGTAACTGAGTGCATATTTTTAAGAACTAATTGCTTCTCTTTTCAGATAAACCTCTGTCTATCAGTGTTTTATGTGATGAGGACAATGCAAGAGTCAGAATGAACAAAAAAATATATCACCTGAACAAACCAGGGGTAATTGATTTACTTGAAAATTTTTTCATGCAATGGGTGCATAGCTAAGAACATCAGTTTTAAAGATAGGTATGATTCATAAGGGAGTAATTACTATATTTTGGTGCATTTTACAGCATTCTTTCTTCTACTGTTTTTTTTTTTTTATTATTTTTTTTTTTATTTTTTTTTTTTTTTGTATATCACAAGAAATATTAATGTTAGAAAAAAAATGGCTCTTGAAACAATTTAAATTGTTTTACAGTTGAATATTATGGTGTGGAACACTTTAACTGCTGAGTCAGTGGCACAGCTCCACTATCATATCAACAACCCTTGGGAGGCTCAGGATTTAGGTGTCAAAATCCCACATAAGCCTCAAGATGAAGGGAACCTTGTGATAATTGTTATCAGAGGGCAGTATGGGCAAATCTATTTAAAAGGTAGATATTGCCTTTTAGGGATTTTATTTATTTATTTTTAATTTTAAATGTATTCATTAGTGTTTAGGTTGTTGAAGGGGGAGACAGGGAAGAGGTCATACACATGGAAATAGTGGAAGTTTTTGTGCAAAAATGATTTATTATGCATCATGCCTACAGAACCCATTCTACTGATATAATTTTTAAATAATTTGTTGCTAATGTGTTTCCCATCCTGGTTAAGAAAAATCTCCAAAATATTATTACAATTTGTGAATCCTTTCTTTTTATTTTTTATATAAATTTGTGGAAATAGATTTAAATTTTTAGGAATTTTAATTATAGATATCTTCATTTTTATGGCATGTGTTCTAGATTTTTTACATTGTTCATTTTGTCTTTGATATTAGCCATGAAAGATCTGCTTGTCATCTCTGCCAAGTCCAGTGTGCGCCAGGATTCCCTGTACCAGCTGCAGGAGAGTGAGATGTGTGTTATAGTGGCTACCTTGTTGAACAGTGGGATGTTGGATGTCAATCATGTTGAGAAAGCTGCCACCATCAATATGGAGTTCCAGTTTCCCTACAGTAAAAAACTAATTTTTTTTATAAAATCTAAAGAATATAATTTGCTATATATTTATATTATAAAGTGTATGGGTTAAGAAAAAATGTAACTCCGGAGATCAACTGATCATAAAGAAGAAATATGAGCTGCAATGAATAATGCCCTAATGAAGGGGCTGTTAAAGAAAAAATTGCCTTTAATCTTATAGTCAGCTTTGTAAATAGTTGTTTATATACAAAAGTCACTTGATCAAAAAATCAGAAAATAGAATTTTCACTTTAGATTGATTTTTTTTTTCAAAGTGAAAACATCAGATGTGCATTAAAATTTCATTCAGTCTTAGTAAAATGAACTTGTAAATGTGCAGGTATACAAGATTTGTATATTTGTAATTTAATGATGTCAAGTAGGTACAGTAAAATTATTGGTGACGACAACAACAACAAAAAAAAAAAAACTTCTGTATGGCATAAGTTTTGATGCATGTAAATTCTTTATATGATACAAGTTTTGTTGGATCTGTAAAGGATATATTTTGCTAATTCATAATTCTATCATTGATTTATATTTTGATTTTCTCAGATGAGATAGTTAACCACAGAGTCTCTGAGATTGTTTTGATCCCAATTATCAGGGTTCTGTTTGGTACAGCCCCAAGCAGCCCTATTAGTAAAGTGATGGTAAGAACTCTTTGCTAATATTTATTTATATTTGTTCATGTGTAATCAATATTTTCATTTCAACTTTCCATAGTTCAGTTTTACTTTTTTAAAAAGTGAGTGATGGTGAAAATGAAACTAGCTATAAACTAACAGATTATTTGCCATATTGTTTAATTTTTAAAAGTATTTAGCTATTGTGGCTACGCAGTTAATGTTCACTTTATTATAGGAACTTGACTTACTGGAGGTACTTGCCAGGCATTCAGGCCATTGTGAAACAATGCTGAACTGTGATGGATTTTTAGACTACTTGAACAGTATTTTATAGTAAGTTTGCAAATCAGTGTATGAAAGGAACTGCATAATGATTAATTGTACACCCCTCTTTTAGGTTTTTCATTTGGGAAAATGTGATATTTATGTGTATAGAAATTAATGTTGTGATTATGTGAAGTCTGAATATGTAAAATGATATGCCAATATATAGTTGAATGCATATTGTTGCATCCTTACATAGCATTACTAGCAGAATAAGTCATCTAGAGATTGTATTGTCATAATAGAAAACATTTTGAGTTGATGATTGGTACACTCAAGGATAAAAATTTTATTATGCTTAAAAACTTTATTTAAACATATGTAAAGTAAAATGACTGTCAACATGCCAAATGTAAGTAGACCTTTTATGTAAGTGTATTAATTTGATCATTGGCAAATTCTAATATGAAAAAGTGAGCTAAATGACAATTATTCTATTTGTTTGTTTCAGCGAATTTACAAAGACATTGTCTGAGTCCCAAGACTACCCCCCTATAGCTGTGGCCCACTGCCTAGGAGCACTGAAAGTGTTATCTGTTCTGTCAGTCAGTGGTAAGTACATATAGAACCATTTGACGTTACAAATTCCAGTGTGCTGTTTAATTGAGGTGAGGTTTTGTCTGGAGGTAGATTAGTTACATATACATATACATAGAGGTTTCATATTGTAACATGTTATTGATTCCTCAATTTTCTTCCTGTCTTTGGCTGTAACCCAGCATATAAATATATTTGTTGCAAATCAGTTTTTAGTACTTTATCAAAAGTTTTTATTCAAATTATTTTGTTCCTATCATTGCTTGTTTGAAAAAGTGAATGTGTATGAATTGATGTGTGTGTGTGTGTGTGTGTG